GCAGTCGAACAGTATATTATTGGCCGCCTGAAGCGAAAGCTTTCCAAGGTCAAATGGCCAAACTTTCTCTCGGACATCAAGGTCAGGGAAGTGAACGTTGGAACGACTGCACCTACTTTCAGCAAACCTATGCTGAAGCAACTCACAAAAGAAGGGGATGCTAGTGTTGAGATGGGTCTTCATTACAAGGGGGAGGTGCGAATCACTGTCGAGGCCACAGCAACAATCAATCTTGGGGCTCGATTCAAACCATATACCGTCAAGCTGGTATTGGCCGTAGTGTTAAAAGGCTACAGGGAAATCTTCTCGTAAAGATTAAGAGCCCTCCTTCCAACCGCCTTTGGTACGCATTCACGACCATGCCCAAGTTAGAGGTTGAGGTTGAGCCTGTGGTCTCCGATCGACAAATTAAATGGAGTATGATTCTGAAACCTATCGAGTCGATGTTGAAGGACGTTGTACGTAAACACCATCACTGTTCATTCAGCACATCCATTCACCCCTACCGCGTGTAGATCACGGAATCCATTGTCCTCCCTAACATGGACGACATCCCTTTCTTCAACACCCAGCCATATCAGATACGAGGAGGCATCTTCGCAGACGCAGCCCGCAAACCCTTATCAGATGCCACTCGTAAACCCTTGTCACAGGTCGATCCATCGAAGCAACAGGCAATATCACCGGAGCCTGGTTTGAAACGTTCAAAATCCTCGGATCACCTTCCCCAATTGTCTGAGATGCATCGCAGAACATCCCCACTGATGCGGCTGGTCGCTCAGAACCAACAGTATCACTTCCTGCTATTGCTCTACATGAACCTACCAAGGTTCCCTCTGAACCTCCTACTCCGCCCAAACGGAATACATGGTTCGGTTATGTCAACCCGTCCCAAAAGTCCCTCAACAAGGAGGATGAGTCGGTCAATGCCGCCCTCATTCTGGAGGCGCAAAACGAGCCTGAAGTTGAACCCAGGGGCGCGCTCAACGGCAAAGCATCACATCTACGCGCGCCCCATCTACATCACCATCACCTTCGCCGTCATTTCCGCCCAGTCACTCTCCTCTTGTGGAGGAATCCCCCATCATTCCTCCCGGGCAGCCGAATGAAGGCACTTTAACTACTCAATTACCTGGTACCCAGTCCCTATGCACCTGTATCACCCTCTGGTTCTCAAACGCTCCCAAGCTCCGTTCTCCTTCGTTTCCCCACCAAGCAACTCGATCGGCTGACTTCGCCCCCAGCCGTTTCTTCTCGCGACCCCAAAATGATGAGGCAAGAACCGTGACCTCCTCGAAAGCTAGCACTTTGTTGACTCAGTGGAAGGCGAAGGCGACGGACAAGGAGGCGCTTAGTGCAACAGCTCGAAGAGACCATAAAGAAATGGGGTTGGGGAAAGAAGAATGACACAATAACTGGAGGAGCGTCGTCGAAGAAGAAAGAAGATAAGCTAGTTGGTTCGCCACCAAAACAAACATTCGAGGAAATACGAGCTCAGGTTGAAGAACGCAGACAGGCAGAGCGACGGCGTGTCGAGGCCACTGCGCCGGGTGTTGGTGCCCCAACTCACCAGCCCGATCTCCCCACTGGTTCAGAAGGCGCTCAGACTTCCATAGTGATTGATGGTGGGTCTAGCCGTGGCGAGGCTGCCTCCGCTCCTACCGAACTTTTGCTAGAGCGGAGAAGCTCGAATGCTAGTTCCTTCACAGGCGGGGTTTTTTCTAGTGGTGCAGACCCGAATGTCCCTGCTTTGAATGGGAATGCTAGAACAGGCTCATCACCTGGCCAATTCATTTCCCCTTCCCAGCCTAAAATCACCACCAAAGTAGCCACTCCCAACTCGTCCCCTCATCTTACACCTGTAGACTTACACTCATCGCGACCAAAACCAATCCCCTTGCACTCTGCACAGCCTAGTTCGGCGCCTAAGATGTCAATACCTGGCATTCATGCCTCACACCGTGGAGAAGTCCAGGCACTCGGATCTACTCCGGCGATGTCATCGGATTCTGCATCCGCGTCGTCATCAACGTCTACGCTCCCACAAAAATTGCAATCGATACAGAACATGTATAAGATGTTCGGCAACAGGAATAGCAAATCTACTGCTAATGATAGCGTACCTAATTGTGGCGATGGATCCACGACCACTACAGGCTTAGGCCCAGGATTAGCTCTTGGACCCGGAAAGCGCGACGCACATGGGCTGAAGAGTCCCTACCTGGGTCAAGTTTGACGGAGCCCACCAAACAAGGTACTGAGGACTTAGCTTCCCCAATTCCTGATGCACCGGTTGGCGCGCAATCTAGTATCAAACCCACAATTGCAGATGGGATTATCATAGGATCTTCGCACCCTGTCACAATTAACCGCGGAAGTCCCTTGGACAAGAATGACATCCGGAGAGATCCTGTAGCTGACATTCCATCCGGGGACAGTCCTCCGCTTCCTCCACGGCCTCAATCTCAATCCGTTTTGTCTGCAACTCCAGCATCAAGTGAAGTTCGGCCTTGCACTCAGTCTCCATCCAAATCCTTCCATGAACCGCCATCTCAAACTGGACTCTCTTACTCGCCAGCCGATGATCAGGACACCCTCGGGGTTCCACGGGATAACGAACTATACACTGGGGTATCGTGGAAAACCTCGAGCGCAGACGACATAGCGGGCTTGGTACTCGCACAGGAGACAGAGGCGGGTTTGCCTGGAAATGGTAGCGCTAATCAACGGACTGAACTAGAACCAAATCCTGGTTCCGTCGAAGGTGCCGTTGCATTTGGTCGCAGCAGCGCTCACCCCCCTGAAGTACGGCGTGAAACGTTGTGGATTCCCCCTCCATACGACTCATAGGATTAGATGCCTGCTGTTGAAATTGATCTAGAGCTGTTCCTTTCCATTCTTTCCATTGGCACTCTTTTCCTATCGATTGATACATACTTTGTCCATTTTGTTGAACTCGCCTCGGCGCACAAAAGAACGTAGCTTCGTTCATTCATTCTTCCGCCCGCTTACACTTGTATCGCTCTTTCGCTCTCTCGATATCTCGGACCACAGTTCCTTTGTCACGCATTTCACATCTCATCAAGTCTCCCACTTGTATCTCGATACATGCCAGTATTATTATACGCGCACGCATTTGGTTGATTATTCATGTACAGCGCCGGAGGCGCTTTTTCTGTGATTTTAGCAGGGACCTTGGTCGTACTACAACATTGATTTGATATTTTTGAAACTCCGACTGACAGTAACATTTATGTAACATTGCATAAACAAGGCGGATAAGTATTGGACCCAAAGGAATAACGCGATTTTTACAAACTCTCCAATCCTTCCGCCTTGGCAGGCCTCCACGACCTTAAGATGTTATGGAATAACTACTTATTGACCCGCAAGCACGAGTGGCTAAGTACTTTGCTTAGATAACAGGTAGGTTGGCTGATGGGAGGATGAAGAGGAAGGATATTGGGTGGGTCAGAGGGTTACACGAATTACGAAGTGGGCTGTGGCGGAGCAGAAGGGGGAGAACCGAATGTGAAGTTCTGGAAGGGAACGTTCAGCCAGATGGTGTCCATGCTTAGATCCCTGGCTGGATCAGAGGGGAGGGGTCCACCAAGTCATCACATTCAGAACCGCCTACCATGACCACACGCTCGACTGGTCGTACTTACTGTGACTATCAACTTCGAGGTCTAACTTGGGGCGACATTTGGCGGCGTCATTGACATATAGCGATGATACCCTCGCGCGAGCCAGGACCTCAAGGGACGTAACAAAAAGAATAATTAAATCCTGCATCCGGAGCAAATAACTAATGGGTGGAATTGGTTATGCATGACTTCTTGATTGTAAGTGGGGCATGAGACTCGCCTGTGGAAGGCAGCAAGTTGGACCTCAGACATGGCGGCTGCAGCGAGGAGCTTGGCCACAATATCGATTTCTTCGTCTTACTTCTTTCCCAGTGGTACTTTGAGTTTGATGAAGAGCTAGTGGTTGTTGTCACCGGAATGTGTCAGACGTGCCTATGGGAGAGATGGTGAATGTAACTGGAAGGTGAGTTAGCTCAAACATACATCATTCTGCTCTGTACATGCCGTCCGCACTCCTCGACGTCACGAAGCGCGTCATTTTGGATGTGCCCTCTCCCTCCAATGCTACTATAGAGATTTCCACAAACACGACCGTAATGCATGGAATAAGATGCGCACCCCGCATGACCGCAGCGTGTGCATTTGTCTCGATGTGCGAACCTCACGACCCCCCACAATAGTAAATAAGCAATCTACTGCCTGTTTCAGCTACCAATTGAATTTTAATGAATCTGATGTCAGCGACATGTCATCATGACCGCCGCTGACCACCGACTTGCAGGTGGCGTCAACTACATCCCGAACGCCAAGAGGCAACCCAAGGAGGGCGCGGGCGCCCTACATGCGCGTCGGCTGTCCCCGTGGGGATCGGGGTTGTGAGTGGCATCAAGGTTGCAGCATCACAGCATGTTATTCTGAGCACGATACCACATTGTCATTAGATATCGTGCTCTCAGCTCACACACTGTGTTTATAAGTATTTCAGGTGTGTGACACAAAAGAACAAAGCGCTACAAACTGAAGCAATAAAACAACAAAGCAAATCACAAAAGGGAACAATTACATGAAACCTCAGCTTTGTCTCCAATGGTGGCAACATATGGTTGACTGGCCAACCGTCGGCACAAAGGGCATCGGAATGTTCAACATGTACCAGTTTGTAAAGTGTTCACTGGCACCGTGTCCACCTCACCCCCCGACGGTTGATATCTAGCCACGTGGTAAGAAATTGGCGTCCACAGTTCCAAACCTCAGACAGTTCTCATTTGACGGATTTTGAAGAGGGGACATATTTGCATTCCCTCATCGACACCAATGCGAGGCCGGGAGCAGGGGCATCTCTTCTGGAGCGCTGCGCCCGAGCCCTGAGTCTGGGAGCGCTTCAAACCGTCAGAGATGACGATGACGACAATATGTATTCTCTTACGCACGGGAAGGGGATGTCAATTTTGAAGGCAGCAGCAGCATTTTGAGTGCTGCGCGTCCGCGTTGCTGATATCAATACTCTGTTTTTCCAAGTCAGTCAACGGAACGGAATAATGTTATCGCAAGGAAGGCAAGGTAAGTTCAATGGATCTAGTCATGGTAATTTAGGGGGCAAACTAAATGCATATGATAGGATAGCTGCGCCGAGATGCATTGAGTTGCACATGAGATAGCAGATGGAATACTGTCCTCGTCCAAGCAATACCACCTGCGTTCTTCGACTGACGGAGCAGTTTGGCCAGGTCCGAGGGGGCCCGAAGGGCTTCGTCTGCCTGCAAGCGAGCTTGCGAGGTCTGGAGGTCGGTCCGAGAAACATCACTCAGGTACTTTTCACTTCAGGACTTCAGCGCCGCATTCCACTCACCTCGTTGTCCAAATTCAACTCCAACGCTTTTACCCTGCATGTTGCTAATCACCGAAATGGAACTGACTGAAAGCTGCATAGTTTTAGTTTTTCGGTTCAGGGTCAAATAGATACAGAAGGTAGCCTATTGGATTAGTTATCCCAGATGGGGCAAGAATCGTGCACCTGTCAAATTTGGTCAATGCCAGTACAAAACATGCTGATCTGCGTAGCGGTATGCATGAGAAATGGCAGGGAGTATGATGGGACTGCCAGTCATCCTGAAGGCACGTAGGTGACCAAGTTGGAGAGCTGCCAGCTGTGACGAGAACAGCAAAGTGAGCAACTAACACAACGAGCAATCTGTTTTGAGCACTAAACGCTGATCATGTCTTTTTGGAAAGTTAGCTGGGGCAGCGGCATTCATATATCGCACGGACTTAATGATCCTCTGAATCTGGTACAAGCCCAATTCATAAGGTGGATTCTTACCAGGAGTTGCATGTATGAACGGGATTCCTCATTCCCTTCAAAGAGACTAGTCTCTTAATGAATGGAAGTGTTTCATTGAAATTTATGACCGCTTTGCAAGATTCCGCTCCCGAAGGAACACCACCCCGCTCCTGAAAACCGCATGAGCGCTCTCTCCATAAAAATGCTGCAGAGCATCCTTTGATGCGCGCGCCGATGCTTAAGGTAGATCAGCCCATTCACTAGCTGATAGGCACTGCCGGCATCTGAGACATGGGGAAAACTGGTGATGCTGTGCACTAACCTGCCATGGTGGATCATTTTTTTCGTTATGACGTGAGTTGTACCCCATCCTTCCCCCATTCTGAGTGGACTTCTTACTCTATGTCAAGCTGAGAACGGAGTCTGGTTCCCTCCGCCATGAGGATGGAGAATCCTAACTCAGATCCTTTGGGAGGTGGGCTGAATCAGGATCTGGGCGCCCCGAATGGCTAACTCGCGACGCGTTATGATACGAATAACGTTAGCAGCGTGCCATCTTTTCCTTCATCTGGGCTCTCTTTGTCCCACCTTGACACGAGGCAACTCCAAGGTGTTCGGTCAGCCCGTGATGGGGTCTCGTCAGCATACCGCTTACATGATGCGAATCGTACACCGGATCCTTTCTTTTTGGGCCATAGTTTCCTTATATCTTTTCGAAAGCTTTTCAGAGTTCCACAGGTTGGTTTTTTTTTTAATTCCATTCTTACCCGTTTTAAATGGATAACTCGATCTAGGATAGCTGTGCTTTGGTCAGGAATGACTTCGACGTGGGGTTTCGGATCTTTAGGCTTTGTGAAACGTGTTCAAGTCATGCATCCGCTGTACCACTGTACCGCTGTACCTAATGCAGAAGGTTGAGGAGGTTCCGAAAGCCGACCATTCAGCCACGAGAAGCCATCGAAGGGCCCGGTGTCGCTACCCTATCCGTCACTTCACTTTTCATAGTTCTGGGCTCTCCGTTTTGACCCGTTCTCGGCAGTTTGGCCAATTGTTTTCAGCAACGAATTGAGCATGGCGAGTCTTGCGGCTAAATCTTTTGGCAGGAATTCGCCCTGACTTCATTATAATGGTAGCGTGTGAGGACCTCCCGGTGCTGATCATATTAGGCGCGCACATCAGTCCGAATGATCGGTATTCTCGACCGCACGCGTCCCCCACGCCCCCAGTTGTAGCTTTTCTGCTCTCCTCCTGGAGGGGCGGTACGGACTGGGAGGTGGTCTAGTCTTAATTGTCCAACAGCCCAGGATTTGGGACCCTTATACTATGGACCACCACATACTCGGTCACACAGCCTCCTGTTTGAGACCCCAGTTGTGGTTAGTACCGCATGATATGGCAACTCTAACGGATCTAGGCTAATCAGCGGACTTTCCGCGTTATTCGTGATAGGGACTCAGCTGACTAAACTTCAAGTGTTCAAGGTGGCGGGGCTGGCGGAGGCTGAAATATCCGCTTCCACTGATCGATATCGATAATAGGTTTAAAGAGCAATTATCATAAATGGGAACGGTGCATTCCTTCCGTTGTTCTAGCACTGCTAACACAATCAGAACCGACGTGTGCCTTGATAATTTGTGGTAGAGACATGATGATGCCATGGGCGACCCATGATCAAACCGGCCTGCGGTGGGCTGTAAACCCTCTATTCCCCAAGTCGCCGACTCCCAATCGGCGGCCAGCTTATTAGGGAGTTGAAGAACACGGACTCAGGACAGGGGGCGGTGACCGCCATTTTACTCAAATTGGGTGTTGGCATTTGTTATGAAATATTTACGGTGTCAATAGTTGTCCACAGTCAATTACCTAAATCGGAAGCTGCGTCACTAAGGACGGCTAAACTGGTTGCTACTCCGCCCTTTGTCCGCGACCACCTTGACCTAGGTTACAGAACGGTGCAACACGCCAAACCAAGTCGATAGTATATATACACCTGTTCTTTGTGTCCTGGAGGCACCTCCGTTGTTCGCAGATTGCATCTACATCAAGTGAGAGCTCTAACCCCTAGCTGTGGTAATTCGCAAATATCTGCGGCGACCTTATCAGATCGGATCTCTGACCAGTGTCGGTGCTTCCCAGTTGTTATCCTGGTCACTAGATCTTCGTGAGTCATGGATAATCATCTCCAGACGCAGAGCTCTCATAACGGTGCATACTCTCATGTTTCATGGTCGCGATCATTATCAAGTCGAGGGCAACATCTATTTTCCTCAAATCAATTATTGCGCCCACAACTGACCACTCCGAACAATTTTCCCACTTCCCCTTCGTCGCGCACACGAGTGTTTTCGCTCATCAGGGATATTCTTAATATTCTTTTTTTTTTCTTCTTAGCAAAACCGGGCTCATCTCCGCGCGGTGTCGGCATGTCTACCATCTCCGAGCCGGAACCAAGGCCGAGTCTCGCAACTTTCCAACAGAGGGATGATACCCCTCGACATTCCACTGCCACAACCTCCTGCTCAAACGCGACGCACGAGGGGCATCTGATGATGGGTTCCCAAAGCGAGCCACCTTTCCTTACGAGTTCCAGAAAGGGTCGTCGGTTCTTTGACAGGATGCTCGGTCGCGGCGCAGCAGCGAATGATGGCCCATCCTCACTGGTGTCACGTCCTACACCACACCAAAGGACAAAATCACTTAACCCGAATGCATTTCTGACAAAACTTCTTATTTCTTCTCCATCCCCTTCCACTGTCCCTGGCCGTCGAAGTATGGACTCACGAACACCGACGCTGCTTCGAAAGACGCATCCCAACTCGCACAATGCTCATCCTTCAATTCAAATCTCACCCAACCAAGAAGTCCAACCCGCTCCCAATCTCAACACCCTGACAAAATCTGAACGTGCGGAAAAGATTAGAAGGAACCGAAAGGTCCTCCAAATCTTCGGTGATGGGTTGTTGAAGCGTGGCGCGGGTCCAACTGGTGATATCGCGTTCGACCAAGCTCTTAGCCATCCCTCCTCCCCTTGTTCCCCAGAAGGCTTTGATGGGCAATTTGCCCTTCACAAGAGACCCTCTCAGTTGTTGCTCGAGAATCGTCGTCATTCATCCCCCATTAGTCCCAGCTTCTTCCTTGAGACCCCAATCGATCCTCGCGCTCTCCGCCGTCCACGTTCTGATCCGAGGAAGTATGGCGAATCCGTTGTTTCACTTTCATCCGATTCTACGGAAACTGAAGTAGCAACCCGCCAACTCCAGGATCAATCTTCCAAGAGCGAAACACTAATGGGGGATCAACAACAACAGCAACAACCCACTCCTGTGACATCTGGAACACCTGCCCTTGTGGGATCGGATCTTTCTTTCCACTCCTCGGATTCAATGAATGAAACGGCCACGAACGGTAGTATTCTAGAGTATTCCCTGCCCATTTCCTCGGATAGGGCACCCGAAGATGAAGAACGTGCTAAGAAGCGCGCCACTCTTGCTAAGCTTCACCGATTTTTGGGGTCGAGAGTCCCTGTGGATCTTGTCCTCGGTTTGACACCGTCGGATGTAGAAGCTTCTTTGCCACCGAAGAGCGCATCCCCTATTGTGACAGAAAGCGGTCCTTCCGCCCTTTCCCGAGCGAAGTCATGGAAGAATTTCAAGTCGCACCGTTCTGCGAAGAGGTCTAACTCTGGTGAAGCCAATGGTGAACGGCCGGGCGTGAAGGGGGAGGACTCGGAGGACAAGTATCCGGTCGTGTTTCTATCTGATGGAGAGTTGGATGCCAGAGTTGGGCGGCTCACACACGCTCAACGGAATGATATAGTACGGAAGAAGAAAAAAATTACGAAGGTTAGCCTCAGGACATCCTTTTTGAGTTTTATGAGTACTTACTGGTTTGTTTCGCTCAGATGATGGGCGATTGTCCACCCGATATCCTCAATCGGCAGTCTTCTTCCATCCTTGAGGGGAAGGATCTTCTTCACTTCTCCAAGGAAACTGGGAAGAGCTTGCAATACGTGCACTATCGGTATTCCATCGACTCGTTAACTTACCTTATGCAAAACGTACGTCCGCGAACCGCATATTCATCCTGCTCGTAGCACTGGCTGACCTTGAGGGGCCGTAAATTCCAGGAAAACCAAGATCAGCTCCAAGATTTTGTTACTTACATGAGAACTGATGGAGAATCTGTCAAAGGCGACGAAGCAAATGGGATTTCGCGACCACGTGCCCTCACCACCGACTCGATCGTGCCGCCTTCACCAACGGAATCGTGGACATCCGACAGTACGAATCAACAGGGCATGACAATGGAGGAAAGAGAGAAAGCCAAAGCCTTCCAGCAACGACGCAGGCGAGCCGCGAAATTGTCTTCGTTCTTTGGTGTGGAGTATCGTGAGCTCTTCACGGAAGTTTTGGACACGATTGAAGATGAGGTCAAGAGCGATGCCAAAAGGGGCAGCTTGACGACCGAAGAAGTCCGAGTAAGTCTTGCCCATATACTCAAATAACGGCAACTCATTATCTATTACCGCCTGAAGGAATTACTTGTAAAATTGCGCGAGCTTAAAACTCGCTGATTGCCTATGTGTCTGTACTGTATTTTGTTGGGTTGTCATTTATATTCGATTAATAACGAGCTGAGTCTCATCTATCCTGAAAAAGTGGTGTCATGATCTGAGACCCAAGCGCGGGTATAAGAATCTGAAATGGGGATTATAAAACGACCAAATCTCCCGAGCATGCATGGCACCAGAAAATGTGAGATTCGTCTCTGAAGTATTGTGAACGAGAAAGGGAACGGGGATGTGTTGGATCAGAATCGGGTAGATTAAAGGGTGCTCGAGGTGATTGTGTGGAGGGCGAACTTAATTCTTCCTCCTTCATCGCGGTAAGGGGTGGTAAAGCCTGAGTGACCGGACGTGCGGCATGAGCCTCGCGCTCCGAGTCAATACGCGCCTTTAGCATGCTTAGGCTGATTTTACGTTTATGTCGCGCTTCAGGAGTAAGCGCGGAGTCCAGTCCCTTGAGTGGTCTTGGAATTGTAGGTCGCATGAATGCATTAGACGACGAGGCAGACGCAGCAGATAATGGGCGGGGTGGGATTTGGGGTGTAGAGGTCAGACGAGCAGTCATAGCATTCAGTTCGTCGCCGAGAACTCCCAGCTGGCGTTGAAGTTGATGAGTCTTTGTCTGTTCAAGGTAGAGGGCATTTTCCAGTGATCGTATCTGTGACCGTGAGGTGGAGAGTTCTAATGCGTGTTGCTGCCGTTGAATGTCCAATAACTCGTTCTCTATTGAAGAGGTTGGAGGAAGAGATGATGATGGTTGGGCATTCTGTATGGAAATTTGATCCTTGAGTCGAAGAATCTCCTCATCTTTCTGAAGCCCTTCGGTTCGTAACAACTCGATTTCTGATCGATTCCGGGAGAGTATATCTTGGAGCTCCTCGGAGGCGCGATTTGATTCGTTCAGGGATTGCTCAACGGTGACCACATCGTTTCGATATCTCCCAACTTCTTCCGTGAGTCGCACAATGGTGTCCTCGTACTGCGTAACAGCTTTATGATGGACGGTTCGACCAGCGGCAAACTCTTGAATACTTTGTCGTGCATTGTGAAGCTCCTCTTCCATTTCCACAAGCGCCTTTTCCAAACCGCCTATATTGGCCTCCAACACCTGCTTCTCGGATAACCAGCGCTTCTCAGATGACTGAGAAACGGTTCTAAATTCATCCAAACTGGAACGCAGTTCCCCAACGGTGGCTTCCAGCTGCGCAATTGTGGCGTCTCTAGTGCTGATGGTGCGTTGCATTCGCCCTTTCTCCTCGCTAAGAGTAACTTTATCTTGAGTGAGATCAACGACTTTGGGTCGTATCTCGTTCAATGACGCCATAAGTTGAACGTTCTCATTCTGAAGCTCCTGATGTGCTTGCTCAGCACCCTGGGCTCGTCTCTCGGCGGCCGCAACGCCCGCCTGCGCGACCTGTAGTTGCTGCTGGATCGTAACAAGCTTGGCAGAAGCTGCACTTTGAAGAGTACTGGCCTCCACATATTCTTTACGCGCCATTTCCACATCGGCGAGAGCCCGTTCAAGATCCGTTCTGAGCGCATTGTTTTCTTCGGTCATTGATGATAATGAAGCCTGCGCCGTAATAAGTTCCTCAAAGAGAGACGCATGTTTCGACTGCGACTCAGATGCCGATTTTGCTGTTATTCCGAGTCGTGACTCCAAGTCTAAGAGTTCTCCCTTCAGTTTAACGTGCGCCTGAAGGCAAAAGCTTGGTTAGAATCCCGGAAGCCGCCAGCACAATTAAATCACCTGTTTGGATTTCGATAATTGGAATTCAAGAGACTCAGCCCGCTCTTGACTTGCACGGAGGCTCTTCTCCAAAGCTTCGACCTGGCCATTTGCTTTAACTTCTTCTTGCAGTTCCTTCACCCGAGATTCGAGGTCTTTGGCGAACTGAGTGTTCTGACTCAGGGATGTACGGAGTAATGAAATTTCACGTTCCTGTGGGGGCACGATGATTGCTGAAACGGACAGTCCCCAGCGCATACGCGACACCTACCGCTTCAAGGTTCTTGGCCACGTATTCGTCCTCTCGCGCAGACGCAAGAGACTTTGCCTCCTGTACCTCTCTCAACTTGGCATTTAATGACGCAATATGCTCCCTCAGCTTCTGGGAGTCGGTCTCTGTAGCCTCGAGTTGTGAATAATGATCTTTCAGCACTTGGGGTGTATAAATTTCCGACGAGCATCTGCGAATGAGGTACATATACATACCACGCTCCCTATCATCCTCAAGTCTTTGGAGGGATGCGGCAAGTGAAGTCTTCTCAGCCACCAGAAGGGAGATTGTTTGCTGATGGTTCTCTAACTGAGCGTGGGGCTGCCCATTTGAAAGCGATGGTGGGGAAATCTGCGCGGTAGGAGTCGTCGCCTGGGCAGGCCTTGGTAATTCGGACGAGGATTGGGGTATATGTTGAGCAGGTGATTGCTTGCTGTAGGGATATCATGTCAACTACACTGGGCTTGAACCAGTGGGAGTGAGACTGACAGCTCTCCAAATTCTGAAAGATCTCCGGCTTCGGAAGGGGCCGGGGAAAACGGGGTGTCCGGAGGACTCTGGAAAACGACGCTAGACAGTGGTGTCGGCGCCCTTCCTGGGGCTGCTTTCTTCCTCTGATGCTTCTTCAACTATTCGAAATTGAGTAAACGCAGCGAGTATGTGGCATACTTGGCCGCACCAAGGCTTTAGCTCTAGCAGCTTTTTCCAAACGATCAGCCTCTTCAGGCGTCGACATGTTTGCGATTTCCCAGATTTCTAGCGCCTCAAGTCTTGATAGGCAATTTAGTTCGCTCCAATTGTCACTCATAAATTCGCACGTGGCATCTTGAGTTAAATTATTTGCGGAATTCCGAGCTCGGAACACAAAACAAAATCATCTAGTTTGAGAGTCCCATTGCTTATGAGTATATACTGCGATCAGCTAGGTGGATACCAAGGGAAAATTGGAAGGCTTTTGAGTAAAAAATAGGAAAAAGGTAGCTGAAAGGTGCAATAAATACAAGTAACAATGAACGACACGGGTATGCTGACATGACCAACGGAAAGTATAGTTGACTTGGAAAGCGGGGCGACAACAGCCATGCGGGTGGGGGTTGACGGTAAGTACAAAGTGAGTCGCACCGAAACAAACGAGAGAATCCTTCAAAGCTTTGTTCACAAAAGGTAATAGAGCGAGAATCTGGACGTTAGGCCCAAATCTAATCCGAATACGAGCCATAAGTCCAGAACCCAAGAGATCGGACCAAAAGGACCTGCCTTGAGTGTACTGTCCCAACTCCCCGTGCAAAGCGCCATGCCGTCCGAGCTGACACCAAGGCAGCTAACGCGGTTTTCATGGCCTGTTAAGACGCCTACGCGCTCGCCCTTCAGCGTGTCCCAAACATTACAGGTCCAATCGTCATATCCCCCGAATAATATACGACCTGAAATGGAGAAAGCGACGGATGTTATGCCACTCAAAACGGTGTCATGAGTGTAAGCGTTTAATTCTCTGTCGGCGCGAATGTCAAACAATCGACAAGAAGCGTCATCAGAGCCAGTAGCAAACGCATCTCCATTAGGGAAAAACCTAGGATAGATGCATTCAGCGTCCGACGGCAAAATTACCTCAGTAAACTGACTGGATTGCATTAATATCAGATTCATGGCCATTGAAGGATTGAACGGCCTTTCCGGTGCGAATGTCCCATAACTTTGCTTGAGCGTCACACGCTCCTGATACGAACGTGTTCTGGTTTGGTGCTAAGGACAAGCTGAAGCACACGGAATTCAATAAGTCTGCGCATCAGTGACTTGATCTTCAGGCATACCTCATGACGTCTCCAGTGTGTTCATTAAACTCCATAATGCGAACACCAGCCTCGATATCCCATAACATACAGGTCATGTCCCCAGAACTGGTCAATATCTGGTGATCATTGACAAACCGACAACAACTCAAGTAACCGGAATGCGCGCTCAGTTCCTTGGCGCCACGCTCACCGGCGCCCTCCCTTGACCGAAGGTTATAAATGGAGCAGATGTTGTCCAGACCGCCGCAAGCAACGAAATTCCCAGAGGGTGAATAAGCGCAAGTCATGACCCAACTAGAGCGTAACGGGATGGCGTGGACTTTATTAGTGGTGTAAGCGTCCCATAGGATGAGTTTCCCGTCTTGAGAAGCAGATACAAGATGTCGTTTGTCCATTGCCCAATGCATGGCATAAATTTTTGCCAGGTGCCCCCTTAAAATTCTTCTTGTTCTCATCGCAATCCGTGGGAGGGGCTCGACCTCACCAGCCATGGCACGAACTGCAGAAGAGAGATATCAGGGATTCAGGGATGACAGTTTCGCCTCGAGCAACAAGGATTGGTGCATACGACTGGTGTCTTGTGTTGCATCTCGACGAGCGCGTATCTTCTCCTTCAGAACCTCAGCCTCGCGGCGTGCGGCAGCAATTCTTTCTTGAAGATCACCGTTAGCCGTTCCGGACATGGGTCGGCAGAACGCTTTTTAGGGATACAGAAGGAAATGCTGCAGTTTCAAGTGAACGACTGATGGGTTCTTTTTGGGACAGATGAGTACGCAAGTTGCTGGTTGGGGATGGTAATACACACGCGGCGGGCAAGTTTTGAGTTCACGCAGCCCAAGATGCTGAAATCAATGGTGTTGCGATGGATGGTCGACGTTCACTATGTCGGCTGGCTTTAGATCGCTTAAGTCCGGGAACACGTGCATTATCTCTGCTGATTATTTGGGAGTTGCTCTCTCTTCCGCCACTGGCCTGGGTTACTTGTTGTTCCACACTGCAAGTCCTGTCACTATGCGCCCTTTCGTCCTCTCCGAACGGCCCACCTTTCCGGTAGCAGTAGCAACGTAAGTGCCCCGTTTTTGAGAACAACAATGTGGCAGCAAGAAACTATCTGGCTATGAGTTGCCTATCTCATAACCTGCTGTTGTCCTCTCACAACCCATTAATCAGGGAAGTTTTGGTACATCTCGATATTTCCACTAGATGCAGATTGCCGTTAACGATCGAATCGCTCCATTCTTGTCGATGACATGCGTCAGAGCTCCTATTCATCACACGCCGCTTAATGACGCTCTTCCATACTCGGGCTTCGAACAATCAGTTTGGCATCATTTGGTCTTGGGACTGGGATTATCTGCTCTTTCCAATATTGTAACAAATACTAACCTAACCTCACACCTGTGATGTTTTGGCCAAGTTTTCTCGCGGAGAAATGAAAGTGGACCAGTTATTCTGCTGATCAGGGTTTGCTCGCCTCGGATGCATAGTTGCTACAACCTCTATTTGCTGCGCCTCCGCATCGTGGGTGGTGACACGTATTTACATTGACGGGTGTCCCCCTCACATGCCACCATGTCATGGGCTGGACCCTTTGACCGAGGTTCGAGACACAGACTTAGACTTCGGGTCGGCTCCTACACTATCCATTTTGATTCTTCACCGCAACGAGCACACTGTAGTTCTGTGGCGCTGGACGCCATTTTTGGTAGTCGGCTGGACGTAAAGCCTCATGTCCTTGTGTATCTAGGAGGGAAAACTTCCCGTTGTTTTACCATCAGGATGCATAGGTATAAAATCTAGGAGAACTCCTGGGCAGACGTCCATTTTCCAGCGTCTTCACCCAAGTCCCAATCGTCCTCGTCTTGAATAATTCCCTTAATGTCGTGTACGTCCGAGCAATCCAACCGTTGTCCCCGCACACATTCATGCATTCGTACAGCATCCTCATCCAGCATCGGTTATTCACGCCAACTACACAATTAGTTTGTCCCTATTCTATTGGTGTCAAGCTCGTCTCACGCATTCGCTGCAGCATAAATTCCAAACGAGGAGCTCACACCATGACCTGGGAGGTTGTTCATTTCTCTGTATGTCCTCATTACCTGCTCATCTTACCACATAGGAGCGTGTCACTGGAGACCATCATAACATGAGATGGACTGTAACATGCAAAAGTATGTTCGTTGCTGTGCCTTTCATAGCACAGAACTCATTTCGGTTGTCATCTTGTCACATCAACAGTCGATGGCAGGGCGCTCGGTACGGCGTCCGGGCCTCGCAAGGGCGCTGCAAAAGAAGAGGCCGCGAGGGTTAGTATTCAACGTTGCTGTTCGCGTTCAATTTCATTGTAACCCACCTTCGCCTCTAGCGTACTCTTCTTGCTTTGGGTGTGGAGCCACGATAGAGATGGCTTTAAGGACCCCTCATTGTCTCCGTTGTTTGATCAGTTGGTTGTCTTTCCCTCATTTTGTGCTATGCGGGCCTCCTTGAATGAATATTATTACCAACACCTCAATGTTGTTACATCTTACACTGAGAAGCGCCCCTACGGAAGAATCATCCCGTGATAAAGCTGGTCTGCAATAGAAACCATCGGATATTTCCCTTGGCTCTGAGGGAAGTGCTGAAAGGGGCGGACACGCAATACGTCCACCAGATTTCATGCTGCCGTCCTCAACACTATTTTGGTATCCGCCTTTGAATTCTCAGACCATGTGTTGTGTCCGCGCACTCGTCAGATATCAATTCGGATCTCATACCAGGTGAATCGTCGAGCGCTTAGACTGACATTGATATAAAATAAAGACGTCCTCACCAAATCCAAAATAGTTTCCTCTGAAATCGAAACTTAAAGATGCCCAGCGTGGACGTTGTCGGCGAGACATGATGTTGGGGTTGAGGCTGGCACGGTGGACAACAGGTAAGATAACACTTCGAGCTCGATTGGTGACGCAGTGCACTCAATGACCAGCAGCATAGAGTTTCAATCACTGGGCGATGACGGCACTGCCCTTTGCGAGACTCCTTGATTTTCTTAAGCGTGAATTCCGCCGTGGACCTTTCGGGCCAATTGGGGTTTAGTGTCCTACTATAGGCCGACATGTCCCCACACATGAAGCTTACGCAGCGGCCCCACCAATTGGATTGCGAGTGAAGGCTGATGAAAAGAGAGCCTAAAAGTGGAAAAGAAAGGGTCGAATACCACCAGCGAAGTCATTCCCCGAAGTTGGAAACAAATAGATTCATCTCGATTTAATGACGGACACAAATAGGTGTTCGCTGCCTCATGTTAAGCTCCGAAAAGGCAGCTCGATGTTGCTCTAGAATCATCGAACCAGATGAACAATATTATCAAATTTGTGAAAAATTTAGGTGCTTCGTTGCAGTTCCACAGTTTAAGTCAGTGTCCGCATGGGAAGTATACGTTTCGCCGCACGACGACGGTCTCATTGAAAGGAACACGTAAAGAGTTGTGTGTTTCAATGAGTTCTCTCGAGACATATGCCTCGTTCTTAGCAGCCCTGTTCAGAGAGGCTCAACCAACTGACCCGAAAACGGTGAGAAGACGCAAGAACTAATCTCCGCCGAGAGGGCTCCGCGAGTCGTGGAGATTTGATCCGCCTTGACTTGCCATGTGTCATGCAAAGATGCGAGATGTGGGGATTTGATTTGTCTGTCGCATGTACAGCAACATAGGTGGCGAGGCTAGCCGGGATTCTCGGGTTGTTCGAGCGGCGGATAACTACACTTCACACCGTGAGGGACGTCGACGTCGCGCCCTCGTTTTCAGGCAGGTCACATTGCCACCTCTCCGCGGATCACGTCTTGATCACTGTTCCAAATTGAGAGCTTCTCACAGCACCCTACGCGAGAAAGATTGTGTTAACTTGCGGGCTCCGTCGGCTAGTGCACATGCGATCATACGAGACGAAAAGCGCGCCGGAAGATGCACGGGGAAATAGACTGGTGGTCCCAAAGCGGATGACAATCACAGACCGCCATTGGAACAGCGGAAAAGTATCGAGACATGATGAGAACGCGAAACTGCCTAAAATTTACTGGCTACAAACAGTAGGGGATCTTTTGGATGGGGCAAAGCGGCTAGCCGAGGCCCCGGACCTTTTCCGCCGCTCTCGAACTGTGGTGAGATAGCAACAGCAGGGTGAGGGGCCCGAGGGTGCTGCGCATAAGTGAGGGAAACCTTGCCGATATCACACGCTCTCACCCCAGGGCCCAGAGAAGTTTCCAAGAACGCCTGTGCTTGAATTCAAGAGATACAAGGCAGTTGGACACAACATTTCAAGATTGCAAATTTCGCATGGAAGCTACTTTGATGGTTGAACCCCCATGCGCTTTCCCATGACTCGAGATGACTGCCAACAACGGGGATCCGCTACCCTCCCATGAGCGAAGTTGAAATCCTTCGACTGCGTGGGTCTAGGCCGAGGAGGACAGCAAATGTCTGAGTATCAATGCAGTTCTCGAAACTGGGAAATGATCTGTACACTGTTAGCGCATCAAGGTTCTGACGAATTGAAGGCCTGGGCAAGGTACCGTTGATTTGAATTAGGATAATTCCGACATTTCAGCCCAAACAGCGTTTTCGGATTTCGGTTTCGAACAACTATGCTACCTTTTGTATTGGGGGTCCTCAAACTGAATGGCCTGGCTTGCAGCACCGTTGGCGCATGGATAGTCAAATTTATAGGTAAGGAGTGCCGTCAATCAAAGTGCATAATTGTTGGGGACATCCCTTCCAACACCGTCCTGGGGGACTCCTGCAGAGAGCCTTAGGGGGCGCTGCCCCGCTCCGGAGGCACCTGCGGGCCCTTTGGGTGTATCGTGCTGGTGCGTGCGAGTGTATGTCTCCGCTCCCACCGGGTCAAAATACCATACCTAAGGATCATTTCCATTGTCCAAAAGTACAATCAAATTTTGCCTTTGTAGAGTTGCGTGCTATTTGCCCTTCACAGAAGTTAGTGTTGTTGTTGTACTCTATTTTGTTACCCCGCGGCCGCACCGATACGTGGCAGTGCGAACCCCACACTAAAGTGCATATGAGGGGATCGTCAATACATGGTAAGAGTGATTGGTTGATGCCCCTTGGTTGGCTGTACTGGATCCTGAAGTTAGTGTTGGAAATCGGCCTCGAAATGTGTGTTTGTGCCGGCAATTCTGTCTTAGCGCCGGTCAACTCTCATCTGGTCCGACACCAACCCAATACTGGCATAACCCTATTTTCTGATCACTGACTTTGGTTTATCCCATATCTTCTTATTGTCGTCTCCCAATACTCCCGTGTTGTGCATTTCTCGCGGGGGGGCGCCGGTTCTGGCTTTTGAATCCGGTGTCCCATGAGATCATGTTGATTCCCACGGAAAAATCTGTCCTCCCTTTGCAAGTTGGCAGTCGGTATATGTGCATAACTGGTATGGTACTCCATTGTCTCTCTGAACTCATTATATTGGACACTGAGCGCTGGGCAAAGATGAAGTTGAACTGTTGAAGCATCTCTCCGGTCAGAGTTGAGGCAATAACAGGTCGAGCCTGCGCAGAACCATAGATTGTGTGTGATGGCGAGTTCCTCAACACAGAGGCACTGCTAGCTCGCCATACAGAGATACAACTCTCCTCGGCGCTAAGGGATTTCCAAATACGGCACCACCCAGACGGTTTAAACTTACTCACGAATGGACTTATTCGTTTATTACTCTGCACTCTATATTCGAGAATGAATAGCCCTTTGTCAACTGATCCGTTTGAGCATTAGCGGCCTCTAGCTCTAATCTAATTTCCCAGAGACCTAGTGATCATTTTAACAATGTTTTAACGTTGGCATTTGTGCCAGTAGGCATATGACAGACGTGCACGATGCGTTTGCGTCATATAGCACTAGAACAAGCTTTAACCTATGACCTCTCGCTGGCTCAGAGTTCGAACCTAATTAGGGGATGGTGACCGGCGTGGGAACGATCACGCCAATTGCAGTCCTGGTTGGGCGTGTCGGAGTGTCCTGCTCACCGCTCCCACAATTTCAGCCTCAGTCTGTCCTTCTTTACTTATGTTATAATCTCCCCGCGCTAGTCACGATTATCTGCAAGCTGCCCTGATTGTGTGTGTGCACACACACATTGGCTCATCACGTTTGGCACCCCTAAATCCAACGCCGGCTAGCCGATCTTCTCCTCTTTGGTCTCGGGCTGCCGGCATTTACGAACCCTTGGAATCCACCTTCGTCCCCTGTCCCCCTTTTTGACGATAAAAATCCTTTATAATGAACCAACCCGTCAATTCCGAGCGTGAGGACAGGTCTTCCACACAGTTTACCCTTTCGACCGATCGATCCAGCGACGTTTTCGAGGTTTTTGAAGATTGTTTCCAAGCCGTTTCCCACCAAGCAGCCGAGGCGGACAGCTCATTTTTACATGGGAGTGAGGATTGCCATATGTCGCCCTTGATGTCGTCATCAAGATTGCAGCATGACGAACCTGTCTTTCCCATGTCCCTTCCAGAATGCAGTCGCTCGGTATTTTCTACACTTACTCGAGACCAACACGACGGATCGTCCTCGTCTAGCTCCTCAACACCATCCGAGTCGTTCTCCTTTTCACCTCCCCTTTCCCCTCCCGGACGGACACATTGCCGCGAGCCCACGGTTGAGGCCGAGGCTGGAACTTCCTATGACACTACAATCACTACCCCTAGCCCTGGCCCATTCACGTTGGGATCGCAATCAAAGGGCAAAGGCCGAGCGCTGGACCAGTCTGCGCACGGGCCATGCGCGCTACTACTTCCTTCACTTGATTTTGAGAGGGAGGAGGTAACTGACGAGGGAGAAAAGGCTCACAGTTCCAAACCCAAACGCGTCATAGGGTGGGATCCAGAATCATTTTTTTGTGATGGATCTGAGCCCTCCACAGCACGAGGAGCTAGCATCGCGTCATTGACCCAATCTGACCACATAGAATTGGAAAATGACCGAAAAACACCCACAGGCTCTGGCCTATCTCGTGCTTTCTCCCAACAACGATTCGAGCCCCCCCGGGTGATGCAAATGGTCGTTCCATCGGAAGATAGCACCAATGTCTCATCCCCTTCGCCCCCGTGGCTTCCTAGAATTGATGCGCCGCCCGCACCTATATCAAGCATCTCGAGGTCGAGATCAACCTCGCTTCGAGATATGTCGAAGCACATCAAGGTCAAACTTCAGCGTTCGCGAGAATTTCTAAGAAGAAGCAAACATCGAGATGACATTGAAGTTGGCACGTCCCCACCCGCCCATACACCCCCTACCGCAACTAGCCCACCGTCGATGGAGACGAGATCTGTTCAATTTTCCCCAGAACTGTTCTCAGACGAGAGTAGTATAGATAAGAAGCTGAAGCTGAACCCGAGAGGGCGACCATTCACTGGTTCCCTCCCGTCTGTGACGCGCCCATCGTCTCCTTTCCCATCAATAGCTGGTCCCGTACTCACTACCGACCCGCCAGATATCTGCGGGCTCCCGCTAAATAGCGAAGAGACCTCTGCGGCTGAGGCATTATCACAGCCAAAAGACCTGTTTAACATAATGTTGCCGGTAGAAACCCGCTTGCACATATTTCTTTGCTTAGTATTGAGCTTCGTGAGTGACTTATCCAGATTGGTCGAGGGAAAATCTTGGAGTGTAGGGATTGCTGCCAAGATGCGTTGGGTCGGCTGGGAAGCTGGTATTCGTGAACTAGTGAAGATTAGCAGGGTATGTAACATCGCATTCCGTTTTTCGAGTCTTATGTGGCCCGTTCAGGTTTGCCGTGCATGGCAGTTTCTTGCATTGGATGGCCAGCTTTGGTCAACATTAGGCGCGTCACCTGGCTTTCCACCGGATTTGCTTTCCAGGATCAGCCAAATTGCGGGGCCTTTTGTAACGTCGTTGCAACTTGAAGGGATACCAACACTTGGGACTAGTGATCTTGCTATAATTGCCAAGAATATTTCGACGATTGCCCATCCCGTTCAAACTTTTTCGTCCCATGGTCACCCCCATGGAACCATCTCGCCCTCAATTCATCCTGTAGATGGGTGGCAAACGAATCTCACTGACGTCAACCTCAAGGGCCTGACTAACCTAACTACTCGAGGGTTAATTAAATTTCTTACGAGCTGCCCCATATTGGAGAATCTTTGCCTGCGAGGGTTGGATGCCGTCACCAATACAACTTGTATCGTCATTGGGGATTCTAACCCAAGGCTACGTTTGCTGGACCTTGGTCGCTGCCCAAACATGGATGCTTTCGGAGTGACGTTCATCTGCGAAGCCGTAGAAAGAAGGAAGAGGAGCGCATCCTGTCTAGGGACAGGGGCCATCGGCATGGGCCAGGAAGGAGTACTCGGCGATGGCACGACCCTTCGTGAGCTACGTATTTCCGGCTTGAAACGTGCCTCGGAGTGGGTCATGGCATCAATTGCACAAGCATTCCCTAATTTAGAGGTACTCGATCTGAGCTACTGTAATGGGTTGTCTGATCGATGTGTGGAGAAATTCGTCGAGTGGAAGGAAGATACATTGGTAGATGCGAGGAGAGGCACCTATGTCCAGCTCACCTCAATGGAAGCTGGTCTTGATCCAACAGATCGTACGATGTATAAGCGGCGCGTTACCAAGCTACGGCATTTGAACCTTTCGCATTGCCTAACCTTGACAGACCGTGCTTGTTCTGCCCTTGCCTTCACGGTTCCGAACATGGAGCTTCTGGAATTGGCAGGCATCGGTGCAAATTTGGAAGACGGCGGGTTGGTGCGATTGCTAAAGACCCTGCCTTATATTCGAAAACTCGACCTTGAAGATGCATCGCATATTACGGATGAAGTCCTCACTGCCATTACCCCATCTCCTTCCACGACTCGTCCCTCAGCAGCGATTCCGATAGCCTTGTATGGCGACAGCATGTTCATTTCCAAGCCGCCTGGCACCGTTGTAATTCCCCAGCCGGGAGAGTGCCTCGAGGAACTCATCATCTCATATGCTGCACTCCCCACCCCCGAAGCTGTTCATACACTTATACAGGCATGTCCCCGTCTTCGCAAGTTGGACACAGACAACACACGGATCACGGACGAGAGCATCCGGATTTTTGTCGAAGTAGCAAGAAAGAGAAGCATCAAGGATGCCGGCATTGTGGCAATTGACTGTGCGAACATCAGCCGCGCTGTTGTTGATGAACTCGCTGGGCGAGAGGAAATACGGCCTCGTTACGGATTTCGATGTTGGGAGGTCACCAGCACTGGTCTTGGGTACGCAGACGCTCGAGATGGCGACAATCTCCCTATTGCAGATGGTGAAGGATTGGATGAGTGTGATGAGACTAAGGTCGTCGTGAAGACCTTTAGGTCATGGCAGGTTGTGGACAAGTGGCTTGGGGAGAGAGAGAAACGTAACAAAGCGCGGATGGGGGCCGAAGTTTCCCTTCTTCAGAGAAGGGAAGGTAGGAGTAGTCGCTGGTTTGGCAGAAGGTCCAACTCCGCATCCGGGACAACGACACCAGGTATGGGTGTTGACGATGACGACCGTGGGTGTATTATCATGTAAAATTCCGAAAAGATTGTTGTATCGTTTGTGGCTCCTTGTGTGTGTATTTCGTACCCTGTAGACGCAGATGTATCTTACTAATCTCTGTCCTGCATGTCCATGAGATCATGAATGATTTTTGGTTGTGCCGATGATGAAGGGTTAGAACGCTCCCATATTCTTTAAGTGCTTTGTCAACAGAAAATGTACTGGTTCTGTGTATTCGGCCGATAAGTGGGAAACTTCATAGCAGGCGACGGAATACATATATTTGGGGTCGATTTAAAGATCGACAGGATGCTATAGTACGTCCGCAGTTCAAAACGAATCCTTTCACATTGGTGCAGAATTGCTCCATGTCATTTCTGGATAATCGAGGAAGACGCCCAGATTGATGAGGAGAGTGCAATGCTAGATTGGGCAGGCGATGCCTCATTGTGGGGCCATTCAGGCTCAATATGTTAATACGTGCCTCTAGCTACCATGCAGTCGACAGACTGCAATGCTCCAGCATTGTCCACGTCCACCCATCTATCAGTAGTGTAGCTTGTGTGTTTTATCGTATCCCGAACTTTCCGGTTTGCATTGCCTTGATCAATCCGAGATGCTAGCCAGTTATTGTGTAGGGTTCTCCGCATCGGTATGGCAGGGAAAATTTGTATGTAGACTTAAGTCCAGAGGGCTTGCTTCCCCAGAACGACGCTGCGGACTGGAAATTCACACAAAAGCGCCGGTGTAAAAATTGGTTCCATCGAATGACTCGATGGGAACGAACGAGTTGCATACGCAATGCATGAACATTCCCGGTCGGTACTCAAGCGTACGGCGATGGGGCAAGGAAATACTCGGTCTGTAGGAACAGGATCCCAACAGCAACATTCTAGTATTGGAACAGGTGAGATAGTCTAGCGCCAGTATTTCCCCCCTTTTACAATATAAGTGCTTCGCATGCGACCATGACAGGTCTTAAGTGCTTCTACAAGGAGAACCCCAAAAATAGATAATGGGCACTCGAATGGGCTATCTCGGCCAGGCAGATACGGCGCTCAAATTTCAGAGCGAGTGTTCTAATGACCCTCGAGAGCTAACGCTGTCATCACTCAGACGCTAGGAGTTCAGAATGAGGGCGCATTCAAGTGGTGAATGACGCGAAGAATTAACAAGGGGCTCGTGGGACTCCGGAAGCAAATATTTGGCTGGGCGGCGAATAGTGGACGCGATGCACATCAAGACACTAACCATACATGGGTTTAAGTCATATCGAGACCAGGTAGGTCAGTCACGTTGAGTAAGCACGCGCAGCAACGCTGAGTAAGCTTTGGATCGAAGACCGCTATTGAACCGTTCAGGTATTCCACCCTTGAGGTTACGCGACGCGTCGAGAACACTCACGCCAACGTCCAATGTTGTAGTCCCAGCCATAACGTCGTAGTGGGACGTAATGGAAGTGGGAAGAGCAACTTCTTTTCTGGTTTGTTGTCTGTCGCTTATTCTGATAATGACTGAAGGAAGTTCACCCACAGCGATACGGTTCGTCCTGTCTGACGCGTATACGTCCATGTCGCGAGAGGAACGTGGAAGTCTGCTCCATGAAGGAGTCTCTGTTACCACTACGCTTAGCGCATACGTCGAGATAATCTTCGATAACTCGGATAATCGATTCCCAACTGGAAAAGATGAGGTCATATTACGACGCACTATTGGGCTGAAGAAAGATGAATACTCGTTGTGAGTAACCCTCTATTGCTCCTGAATTGCTTCACTTGTGATACAGTTGCGTTTCCCCAGAGATAAGAAGAGTGCTACAAAAGCCGACGTCATGAACTTGCTGGAGAGTGCTGGGTTCTCCAGATCAAATCCATATTACATTGTGCCTCAAGGACGGGTTCGTTGATCTTCGTTACACAATGTCCTGCTTTTGAACCCTTTTCGTATTAGATAACGAGCTTAACCAATGCAAAGGATCATGAGAGGCTCGCACTCCTGAAGGAAGTTGCTGGTACAAATGTGTACGAGAATCGACGAGCCGAATCGCTTAAGTTGATGGAGGAAACTGGTATGCTCTCGCTCGACGTCTCATATCTTGTGTTCATTCCTCCTTGTTTTAGAATCAAAAAGAAGCAAAATCAAGGAATCCTTAACTTTCATCGAAGAGCGACTTCAAGAATTGGAAGAAGAAAAGGAAGAACTGAAGGAGTACCAGGAAAAAGATAAGGAACGTCGATGTTTGGAGTATGCCATGTATCAGCGAGAGCTCGGTGAAGTCGGGCAAATGCTTGAGGAGGTGTGCATATCATTTGTGATAGCGAGAAGGAAATCCACTGAACATGGATTGCTCTCATTTCCAGATCGAGATAAATAGGAGGAAGGAGATCGATGATTCGAATGAGAAGCGAAATGAATTTGCGGCACGAGAAAAGGAAATTGAAGTGAACATCTTATTCTGCCGTACAAAAATTTATAGGCTCTAACGTTACTATTAGGTTCTGAAGGATCGGATTTCGTCCTTGGAGTCTTCCCTATCTGTTTTGGCCCTTTCGAAGCACGGGTTGACTAATGAAATGCAGGATCTGTTAAAGGCGCGTACGGAGCTTGAGTGCATCATTGAAGACCTTGGTCAGGCGGGTCAGAAAGGGGCGGCACGAAAGAAGGGGCTCAAACGAGAGCTTAATGAAGTGGAAAAGCAGATTTCCGGGGTTGAAACTGAGTTAATGGAGGTTGTTCCTGAGTGGGAAGATCGCGTCGCAAAGGAGAAGGAGGCCCGTGCTAGGTTCGTCTTAATCAATGCCAGACCCGTTGCTAGATATACTGACGGGTGCACTGCCTAGTTTGGACCGTGCACAGGCCTCCTTAGATACATTATACGCTAAACAAGGGCGTATCTCCCGTTTCAAGTCTCGGACCGAACGTGACATGTTTCTCAGAAATGAAATTGATGCTATCGCGGCGCACGAGAAGAGCCAGGCTCAAGTCAAAGCGAACATGCAAACTGAGCTAACCAACACACTCAAGACAATTGATGAGCTTATTCGCAAAGGCAATGAAATCGAGGAGAACCTGAACGAGCGGCGAGGCAAGCTGCAGGAAATGCAGGAAGAAGTCAACAATCTCCAGCATAATCTCCGCGAAAAGACAGAGCAGCGCAAGTAAGTACCATGTCCTGTTGTGCTAAATCTGGATTTATCGCGTTGACGGTAGGGAAATGTGGCGTGAAGACGCGAAGCTATCGCAACTCAAGAACAATGCCCAGCAGCAGCTGCGGGAAGCGGAGCGGAATCTAGCTAGTACGATGGATAAAGTGAGCCTGGCTGCGGCTACATCTCGAGATTTCCGATTGACTCGCCAAAGGACACAGGAAGTGGCTTAGCAGCCGTTGACTCCATCGCCGAGCGACTCAGGCTTGATGGCGTCTATGGGCCTCTTTATCGTTTATTTGAAGTCCCAGATTCCAACTACAACACGGCGGTAGAACTAACCGCAGGTGCAAGGTAGAGTCTCATGAATCATGCCGTTTCCACTTGTACTTATCGTTCCTTTCAGTCTGTGGCACATCGTAGTTGATACGGATGAGACCGCCAGCAAGGTGCTCGACGTGATGTTAAAAGAGAAGACTGGTCGTGTCACTTTCATGCCTCTCAATCGATTGAAGCCGAAACAGGTTCAATTTCCCCAAAGCTCGGATGCACAACCCCTCGTTAAGAAACTTCGTTTCGAACCCTCTCTGAGCAAAGCCTTCGAGCAGGTTTTTGGGAAAACATGTGTCTGTCAAGACCTCTCTCTGGCTGCCTCATATGTGAGAAGTCATGGCATCAACGCCATCACCATTGATGGTGATAAGGTTGACCGTAAAGGCGCAATGACTGGTGGCTATTACGATGTAAAGCGATCGAGGATAGACGCCATCAAAGCGGTTCGAAGTTGGAAACCCCGCCTCGAAGAGTACACCCGGAATCATGCTGAGGTTACCTCGGCTCTCCATCGCCTTGATGCTGAGATCACGCAATTAACGGGACGTTTCCAAGCAGCGCAAACGAACCTAGATCAAACACATCACATGCGCGATCCGCTTCTAAGAGAGAAGCACAGTATTCAGCGCGAACAAGAGCGACTGACAGAGAGGGCGACCAAGCTTCAAGGCGATCTGGACCAACTTGAGACTGAGCAAACTGCTCAGCAGGCCCGCAAGGAGGCTTACCAACAGGAGCTTCGCACCCCAATGGCCCAAGGAATGTCGGACGACGAACTCTCCGAAATTGAACGACTTGCAAAAGAAGCAGACTTCCTAAAGAAATCCCTTGTTATTTTGGCCCAAAACAAGAACGAGGCAAGTGGTGCCTTGTTGGGGATTTCTTACGCCTGACTTCACCCCAATTTTAGTCGGCGGAGCGCAAAAGCAATCTTGAAGTCGATCTTAACGAAAATTTGAAACGTAAACGAGAGGAGATTCGTGGCCAGATTGAAGCCATGGACGTCCCATCGAGCATTGCGGCCTCATCTCTTGGTGATCTCGAGATGAGACAACAAGAACTAGCTTCGCTGAATGAATCTGTCTCATCCCTCGAAGAGAAGTTAGCTGGTGAGGACCCCACAGACGATTCAGCAAATGTTTGTTGACTCAAACCGGCTATAGACCTCGAAATTGAACACACCTCAACGACCGAGGGACTCGACAATGCGAAGGAGGCTTTAGATAACCTCCAGACCACGCAGCAGGAAGAAAATCGTGGTATGTCCAGACATCAGAAGAGTACAGAACGGTACTTGGCGAAGCGCCAGCTGCTTATGACTCGGCGTGATGAGTGCAACAAGAACATTAGAGATCTGGGTGTTCTTCCAGAAGAAGCCTTCGAGAAATATACCAATGTCAAGGCGGAACGAGTAAGTGATCCTCGCCTTGATTGACGTTGCTCTGCCTCTAAATGAATAATCTTCGGTGTTATAGCTTGCCAAACGGCTCCGTGAAGTGAACGAATCGCTTAAGAAGTTTGCACATGTCAACAAGAAAGCCTTTGAGCAATACAACAATTTCACCAAACAAAGGGACCAACTACTGGAACGCCGTGACGATTTAGATAAATCCGCGGAAGCCATC